AGCTGCAATTGACCAAATCGGATTTGAGGCAGTCTAAGTTGGCCATTGAAGTCGGGAACAGGCCAGAAGTCCGGTCAAATGGGTTCTCGAATTGCACCTCGATTGCTAATTTGTCATCTCTACGGCGCGGGCAGCAGAATTTTGGCCCTAGTGATAGGACCTCCGAAAGCGTTTCATCGATAACAAAGTTGGAGCAGTTGTATACGGGAAATTTCGCTCGCGGTTTTTCCTCACTCAGGGTTTTCTTATCAGCCTGTTTTGTAGCAATACTTCTAACGTAAGATGTAAACTCCTGACATTCGTCGTCTGAGAGATCCTGTACAATGTGTAGTCTTTGGTTGGCCAGTTGTTGATACTCGCTCGCTTGTGCGTACAGTGTATCAAGCTGACTTCGTGCATGTCGTTTCAGTGAGACGTCATCGGGTCGGATACGGTTTCTACGTAGTTGTTTCCAGTAAGTTTTTGGGTATTTACCGCAGAGGTTTATAACCAAGAATATGTCCGACCGCCCTATCCAACCGCCTATCACGACCGTTGGAAAGAAGCCAATATACTTGAGTCTACCGTATAAAGGCGACCTGTTGGCGGACATAGTCAATCGCCGCTTGTCTCAATCCTTACAACGCACGTTTCACTAACCAGTCGTCGTAGCAACAACAAGTGACGAGATGGACCTGCATCAGTTCGCACCGCTTGGTGAACACCAGCAGAGCATCGCCCTGTTGCATCACCCACTGAATGAAACCTAGTTCATTCTGATGGGACACTGTTTTCTACAGCATATCTGGAAATGTCGGCTTCCGAAGGTGTGTGAATGATAAATGGTATGAGGGATAGATCTGCCATTGATCTACATCACTTTTCCGGCGCGGAATACCTTTCACTTGCCTTTACGGGAGTACCAGTTTTGTGTCAATTGATCGAAAACACTTCTGCTCAACCCCTCGAGTAGCAAGTTTCATGCTCTTACCTCTTTTTCCGCTTCCTATATCTGACGACTTCGCAATAACGATTGACTGCGATAAATTGAAGTGATTACACGGCACCTTATGATGCACTTGTTGATCGTTGCGTTGAAATTCAATTTCCCACCGCCACCCGAATCTTTGTTTTGCATATCATTTTCGTCTGGTTCTGCCGACTGGTACATGCATCCCCGATGAGTAGGAACAACTTTATAGTACAGTATCCGAGACAAGATGTTGTGATTTAGGTGTCCAACTTCTCTTCCCCATTTTCCAAGGCAATCGCATTACAGCTGTTGTTGACGAGACGCTGTCAGGCTGTATCAGGCAGTATGCACCCACCTGCTTCATTCCTTATGGGAAAACAAATTTTATGTATGTTGAAGAAGTGCGGTGTGCTAACACTTTTGGATTATTTCCATTGTTCAGAAATAGGGTAATCTTTTCTAGTTGAAGGAGAAAGCAATTTTCGCGCTGTATTTGTTCGTCCAGATGTAGCACCCTTTCGTTGCCTACTTGCCACATCACCTGAAGGGAGCATGAGGACTGGGATACTGCTAGATTGCCCAGGTCTAGACAGGGGAAGTCGAGAGGTGGAGGTAGGGTTCGAACCACGGACTTTCCGGTAAATTTGCACTCTAACCACGGCCACCTCGCCCTTGCGCTGTGTTACTACCTTGTTTATAGGACTTCATGACATTTCTACATCAGGTGTCTTTATACTATCCCTGAAGTGACACTACATGGATCTAAATCTGTCCTGATGAAAATCTTAAGATGACTTCGTGTGTCTGCGGCTCTACCGGCCGGACATTCTGGTTTGAAACTCACACCTTGAGCTTCCCCCCTCACACTGAAATTTTTCATTTAGTTTCAGTTGAATTTTGTTCGAGGCATTTATATTTTTACCGATGATCGTACGCAATCTCTGGTTGACGGAACATGTGGCAAACGTATGCTACATAATGTTTCAAAATAAAGTTATGCGGGCTTTCATTAACTTAGTGCAGTTATTCTAGTGGATGTTGTAAACATCACAAGAGTAGGTTATTTATCCCGGTCATTAATAATCCGAGCCACCAGAATAAGAATCGGTCGGGTGAGTATGGAAAACACCGCATCCATACCGTACTGAGAAGTATCGCATCAGGCGAGTCACCGAAACCAGAGAAACCTGACTGACACGTGCCGCTGTATCAGTCAACATGCTGCACTTTATTACCACAAATTCATGGCAGTTTTCCGGGAACGCTAACTGGTTGTCGCGTCAATTACCAAGCAATCGTCTAAACGCGCTTGCTATTTTCTGTTACTATGGGTTTGAATAAGTGCATCGCGGCGATATACCCAAAAGAGTTCGCATCATTTAGACCGTTTCAGGATTCCGGTTGGAAACTGTATAACATATTAAGTTTTTGTCACAAGTAGTAAGTAGCGACAATCCACCGGCGATCATTAAGGGCTATCGTGCAAATAGAGTTAAAACCCCCCCACCAACTCTACCCACAGTGTGACTCTCACCATGTGACTCAACACCCCCAAATCGTGTTATCGGGTGACAACCAAAGCATGGGAGTGATATTAACCACACTGAGTAATTCAAAAGTAATGGTAAATAGTGCTGATTTTGAGGTGGCTGAGCCGAACGTTACGCTTGGGTCGTCACGTTTTCTCATTCTGCAACACATTTTTGTGGCATGGGTTTCTAACCTAGGCTGTACATACCCGTAAGGGTGCGAGACGGGTCAACTTAAGGACAGGTTGGTTATCTTCCAAAAGTTTCATTCAGTCTCTCCTGTCGACAACTGTTTCATACTACTAGGATGTTAGTAGTCTTGGGAACTCGGTCATCTAAGAGTTTTATCACGGTTACGATTAGGTTAGATGTGTTCTGCCGACTCTCCTCGATAGACACCAAGAATTTGCCATCCTGTGCACTATGTCTACAACTGCACATATTGGGTATTTGGTACGGTGGCCCCATAGACGTGGATTGTCTTGCATGGACAGACAATCAGATTCTCACTGTTATTGCCACATCTGCTGCACACAAACATGAATTTATATCTCAACTTGTCATCGCATTATTGGGCTATCTTTGGTTGTGTCGGTTCACGAACATTATTGTGTGGCCACAACGCAACTCGACTCAATCAGAGGAGAAATGTGGATTTTTTTTACTCGTAAAGGGTTGGGTTTTCGATGACCAAGGAGCGAAATCTCTCGAGTGACACCGCTGTTGCTGGCTGGGCGGGGACTAGATTCTCTTGCGAACGGAAAGAAAAATGATCTTTGAGGCAAACAAGAGATGAAAACACCACAACCAACGAGGTGCAGCTTATCTAATATGGTTCAGCAATCAAACGAGAATTCTTATTTACCACTTCGGTTGGGATTGCTCACTCTCCTGGTTCTGTGAGTCTTGTTGAGTTAGAGTTTTGACGCACACTTCCTATAAAGGCCAGGAGTACTCACTATCCCATATATTGAAAGTATGGTTGCTAATGAATAGCCGCAGGCAGTCTCTTGGACTGTTCAACATGGCCTTTCGCGAAACTCCAGGTAAAATGCATTCGGGATACTTATTGCATGATACCACAGTGTGCGAATGAAATATCCATAATGATCGGCTCACTGATATATTTGCTATTGTTTACTAACTTTTTCATCACAGTAGCATGAGATGCGCAGTTTATTGGGTTTGTTGGGAATGCAGGCAAGGAGGTAGGCTGAGAAATGCTACTTCAGGGTATATTTAGGACTGTGAAACTGGTTGCACAGTTCGCGCATTCTACGGTTGAATCTAGTAAAATATACGTACACCACATGTGTTAATGCCTCGCTCTGCAAATAGCTTACCAAGACCGGTTTTTTGTGTGTGCATAGCTATGTTCGTCATCGCGTTGGCAAGACACGAGCTTCTGTGGTGAATACCATAATAGATTGTTTACAGCGTATTCGAATACCACAGAGTCTTAATGGTTTTACGCCTTACTACTGAACTTGAAATTGATTCTCAAACGGTAAGGAAGGTTGGATATTGGTGCTCACCTTATATGGAACGAGCGAACCGTTCTGTTTCTGTGCTAACGAGCGACCACCTCGACTATGAAACGATGCACGAAAAATATGCTTTATTTATGGATACACTGATGAATATCACTTATGGAAGCCCAAACGTCATAACTGGGTGCCTTCGTGAAATGTCAGGTCCTCACCGGGACGGCACAGGTCATATTTCGAGTCTGTGTTCTTGCACTGAGGTCAGTAGGAAGCCGCACACTCTAATAATTTAATTTCCAATTTTCCATCCTCCCTCGGTAGTTCGTTACGTGTTTTCTTGTCTCGCTGGCTACGTCCGCCACATTCCTCCGATTTTCAATCTCCTTCTGGACTACAAGAGCTGCATCAATTGATTGTCTTACTCATAAGGTGGCATAACATCCTACGCCCAAAATCGTTTAGGGGCAATGTAGACAAACTGGATTGGCGTTCGAAGTACAGAGATGAGTCGCCGAATACAAGTGGTCTTAATTTGCTGCGCTGCATGTTCTATGGTGTTGATCAAATGCAAATGGAACGCGCCGCTCGGAAATTTGAAACCGTCTGTCTTTTGGCCGATTCACTATCCGAAACCTATTCCAAAAGACTGATCGGATCACCGGAAAAGATCAACGGTGAGTTCGTTTTTAATCCCAAGTTTCAACTTTCACATATTTTTGGCGTTTTTCAATGTGGTTCCTCTTTCAGTGAACCCAGCTAACCTACAAATTTGATGCCCCCATGGTGTCTGAGAATGCAACACAGCCCTTAGAAAGCCCGCAGTATATGGATGACTGGCATCCGATGAACGTCTGCCTATCAACAGTGGTTGGGCCACTGTGATTGCTTATGATAGCAAAAACAGCTTGCATGGGATTACTGTGCTACTGCGGGTGAGCCTGCGAATCCGATGTAATTTCGAAGGTATAAGACAGGTGGAAAAACGTACACATGCCTGGTAGGAGCCATCAGCCTGCATGGTGGCATTACAATGAGCGTTGGTACCACGTCAGACAATGGGGTTCCACGACCAACAGTCCCAAGCTTGGGTGCTCCGTTGCACTAATTTACTGGTACTACTGAAATCCGAATCTATTGTCAACTGGACACTCGTTGTTATCATGAGGCGGTATAGTGATAAATTCGTGCTATCTGTAGCTGGCGGATTGTGAGGACTCGCATTTCCCTTTCAATGAAGCAGCGATGCTGCCTTCCTCGGGGTAAGAGGGGTTAGTTAAAGTCGACGAAAAAACGCTCTTTTGAATCGCGCGACGATTGACCGTGACTACTGGTGTATTAACTGATGCAGTCAAAGTACTGCTAAGTACCGAGAACCCCGTCTGACTCAAAACGCATCTGCTGTGAGAAGCAGCACTACGGACCAGACATCCATGCTTTACTCTCCTGGCCCCTAAACTAGGGTATCGCCAGGACTATGTGTGTCAGAACTTTGAGTCGTTTGCTTCTAGTCAGTTCCCTTAAAGAAACCCCACCACCTGGTATCTTGCTGACCATACCAGAACGTTGAAGGTTGAGGTGGAGTTGAACATCCGCTGGATGATTTTAACGCACAGCAGTGCACAGTCTAGAACTTAGTGGAGTCTAGTTCACCAAACTGGATTCCTACAGCCACTGTTGTTTCAGGACCCAAAGACAGCCACACGTTTTCGGTGCGTTCAATGTGTCGGATTTAGAATAAAGGATGAGTACCGTAGTCGCGTTTCGAATTTTAAGCTCCGGAAAACAGCAGACATCGCAGTTTAGAGTTTTAAGGGTCTGGATGAGTCTCGCCTGTTGCTTCAGGCCGTAGAAGTGATCTCATTGAATGCGGCTAGCTTGGATAAGCTACCTGTTTTCAGTATAGCATCTTCTGTTCTAGAGAAATACACCTATTCGCATACCAATGTGGTTCTGACGGGACTCACCCGGAATCCATCTGAATCGTTTTTTTTTTTAATGAGTATATTTCGCTAATTTTGTGCAGTTTGGGTTCAAATAGACCATAAGATTGACGGAAACTCGGTAACTGCGCCCACTTCCATACGTATATTGCAATATATCGAATATCATGTTAACTGAAAAATGAGGTGCCCTGGTGCTGCACATTCAGTTACTTAACAGCATTAAAACATGAGAGATTCTGGTGGGTTCCAGAGGAGCCTCCCATCAAAACAAAATTGGTATGCAAATGAGCGTATTTCGCTTAGTTTGTACAGTTTGGGTTCAAGCTGATCATAAGGTTAATCTAAACTTGGACACTACGCCTGCCTGATGAGTACCAAGAAGGGCCAAATCGGTCGTGTGTTGCCGAAGAGTTTCCGACAACCTGATGGGTGTTGTATTACGTCTTTAAATCTGTTCTAGTTTATGTATAGTGACCTTGGAAATCGTCCTCTGTGGGGCGGGCGTTTGTCTATTGATAGTTTTAAAGTGACCGATAATGCTTAGAATGATATAGTAGGTCGGGGAGGGAGATTAAAAATAGAATTCTGCTACGAACACAGACGATAGTGTGTATCTCGTGCGTAAACTGTGTTTTGTCCGGAGAGGGCCCGACCACGGATTCCCTGGTCAATCAAAAGCGAGTATCGTGTTGAATAGAAATTCAATTTTACGTCAATGTATGACTAAATTTCATTTAGCTACATGCCATCTTCGTTACAGCTTTAGCACTTTGGAGTCTAATCGTCCAATTGTCCAAAGTTAAGCAGTTTATAGCGCGTCAATCTGGTACCAAATTCAGTCTTACCTGCCGCGTTCCATCTGCATAGAATCCCAACAGTGAATGGTGATCGATCGGCAACCGAGAGGGGACAATCAATTTCTGGGATCCAACACCACACAGTTTTGTCCGAAATGTGTGGTCCATTTATCGCTTTTTACAAGCCTTGTCTCGTCGGGACCGAATAGTATCACCAATGCTCGAGATAGTGTGACAGTAAAATGGGTGATTCTCCGGGCTGAGCTTTGTACTGTATTGTGAATGTGCCACTGACGGTGTTGACGTACGGAACAAGTTTAATGCACTGAGTAACACTACTTCGTCTCTGTATAATCCACTCACAATTGTTCGCTGACGATCAAGGGTCCTATATCTGCGTCGTTTGTCTTATCATTTGAGCTCCCTTACTTTTCACAAACAGGCAGTAGCTGTTTCATTGAGTAGCCCTCATATATCTAGGCGTTTGTCTATATCAGTTGTGCTGTCTATGAATCAAGAAGTTGATCGTTTACGCACTTTGTGGCCAGTGTTTGAGCCCACAGTCTCCGCGCCAAAACGAGTCTACGCACCTGTTTTCTCGACCTTGGGGGTTCCCTGAGTCGATTTACTCTTGCTATCATGATTAGGCACAATATACATAATCCCCATCTGCTTTTTTTCACCATAGGATGCGCAACCAGTCCCTCTCATTCGTCTTCTCCACTCAGCTATGGAAGCAGTACGTCACCAGGATTGTCAGGAGGGTCAGACCACTCTCATCCCTTTGGTATTTGGGACCTTGAACCCGCTCGCATCGCGAGCGTATTGACTGCGGAAGATCAGGTAGTTCTCCCTAACACTTGTTGTGATCATGTCAGTGTCATCTCACTCGCCTCATCAGCGTATAACAACACAACCGCAACCGTGCTTGTCACCGTTCCGGAACGATAGCTTTAGTGATTATAAAAATCCTTTGATACCAAGTGACATTACCCCAAATTCTACGTTGTTCACTGCGTATCATCTTTATCAAACTTCGGTAAAAGCAAATCAAAGGTAAGCTTCACGATTTCCCGCTCTAAATATTTTTATCCTGAATGGGCCTTGTAGTATATCGTATATCACATCGCCTAAGTAGGTGCAGCTTTGTCAAGGATTACCCATAATGTGCAGTATGCCCCTTCCATTCTTCGCATAGATGGTAAGAGTGCAACACATCTTGATTGAGATATCTGACTTACCAGTCCATCTTGTAAGCAGTCTGACCAAGAAAATCCAACAGTTTCGTGTAGCTTGTGTCGTCTGTGTCCTAATGTGACTGCAAGTTGCCCGCGCAAATATCACAGATATCACTCACGTTCGAGAAGTGTTGTCGAACCGCTACCTGATGGTGTATTTGTGGGTGAAGTGATGTTGTTCACCTGATGCACTGCACGTATATATATATAAAGTTACGTTTCACGTTTCAGAAACTGCGGTGTTTTTGTGAATCCAACTTTGCTAGAGTTCCTACACAGGCAGCCTCTAGGTTAAGTTGGATCGATATCTAAAGTTGACAAGGTTCGGAAGTGTCCATGTTCAAGGGGGGGGGGAACGGGTGGTGAGTTTTGAACAATTTTTAGGTAAGCCGTGTCATTAGCGTCAACCATATGTTCTCGGTCTTTTCTCGAGTACTGCACACAGAAAATCGTTGCACAGTCGATCAAATGAAGTTGTTTAACCTTTCGACCTTATTCTGCTTACTTTACTTTCTCAACAGCGATTGTTTTTGGATCTCCGATTGCCAGAGATGTTGCTGTACGCTCGCAAAAAACCTGCACCCAGTGTGATGGCCACGATAGACCACTTCAACCACACTGTTACCGCGTTACAAGGAAGCATTTTAAGACTGCATCCCGACACGATGCCGTCGATTCGAATTCGTCCCAGCGATTCCCCTCGTTGTGATTCCCGTGAACGTGGAGCCGTAGCTGCGGTAGCCGCATGGTCCAAATTGCGCTTATCGCGCCATGATCTCCTAGTCCCTGATCAGCAACTGGGTACCGTGCCCGAAATGACCTACAAACGGGCCCGCATGATCGCTTTTTGGATTGATGTAGCGTCTGTAAGTGCCTTATTTCCATCACCATATTACTCACTTCCGAACGGATCATTTGGTTCACATAATTGAATCAGAAGGGTAAGGCGTCTGTCCTCAACTCGTGTGAGTGATGATCGAGCCGTGTGAAGTTCTACTTTTATCGCGAAGTTTGATACGTCGTGTGAAATCCTCTTTAACTTTGGTGGGATGCTGATTCTATTTGGTTCGGATTTCCGTGCATCGACATTGCATACAAGAATTGTGGTGGATTTCATTTGTACTACTTTGGTTTCTCTGGTCCGAATCACTGGTTCTCCCGTTTAAACCCCCACGTATCACTGTAGAGCCGATAGCTAGTTATGAACCTCCATACTCATATCGGCTTTGAAAACGGATAGGTTCAAGTACTTTGGTATGTTAACTGTGACCAGTCTGCAGCTTCTCTGAATATGAGTTGTAAAATACTCTTATTTAGCTTCGTACGAAAAAATCTATTCGGTTCACTCGTTGGTTACTTCGTCTCCTCAGATTGGGACCGCTGGACTAGACAAACCAATAATTAGTGAACATGACAGACGATTGTATCACGCAGCCACTGGCGGTCTTGCATCTGCGTAACTCTCATTTCCTGCCACCGAACAGATGGAACCCTTCGATGTCAGTAAACTGCTTGGCCATCGCCCCCAACGCGTGGCTCTCATTCCCTTATTTTCCTCATCCTCGGTGAATAAAGCTAAGGCGGCTGCACTTTGGTGGACGGTTTGTGAGCCGAAATAACTGAACTGAACTGAGCGACCAATCACTTGTCTAGGGCGTCACTGGGCTTCACCCAGATCAATTGATCGTTGCGGACAAGTCTGGTGAAAAATCGATAAGTATGTTGCTAGGCCTCGTTTTACTATCGTTCCAGAGAACTAATCAACATTAGTGGTTTATATATGAAGGGCAGCACCAACCTAACCACTGCCAGATTATCTCCATGACACTCAACCCAGTTGTCGTAGTACACGTTTATCCACACAAACGAACAAGATGTTTCACCTCCGCCAAAAATTGACCATCATTTGAAGTGCACTGAACCTGAAGAAAAAAGACCTAAATTCTTGTATTTCTTCCAACCACGAACATCTTGAATCTGATACCCAACATTGGTTAAGCCTGATAGATATTAGAGATATCTCGCTAATGTGTTCTCAGTCTGCCTGGTATTCCATCGCTCTTTTAGCCTGCTCACTTGGCCTAACGACGACCCCTTGGGACCGAAAGGGTAACCCTGGCATTGGTCGTTTTCCAAAGTTTTTGGTAACACTGAATTATGAACTGGTTTCTGCTATTTCTCCGTTGCTTCGAAGATGAACAGTGTTCGGCAGTTCAGTTGTCTATGGTCTACCATGAGATAGCTCAGTGGTTAAGACACGAACTTACTGCCGGGAGTCCGTGGTTCCAACCCAACCATGGCGCCTCGGCCACTGTGTCTAGGCATAGGCAACCTGGCTCTATCTCTTGTTTCTTCCAGGTGGCGTGGCAGATTTTCCAAAGTTTTTGGTAACACTGAATTATGAACTGGTTTCTGCTATTTCTCCGTTGCTTCGAAGATGAACAGTGTTCGGCAGTTCAGTTGTCTATGGTCTACCATGAGATAGCTCAGTGGTTAAGACACGAACTTACTGCCGGGAGTCCGTGGTTCCAACCGAACCATGGCGCCTCGACCACTGTGTCTAGGCATGGGCAACCTGGCTCTATCTCACTTCTCTTGTTTCTTCCAGGTGGCGTGGCAGCTAATCACTGAAAGCGTGTTATTTTACCCTACCTTCAGTTACTTCGATTAACTCGCTCGTGTCGTATCCATTCTTCTTGGCCATCCTTTTCCCGATATCAAAATGTGGAGTTGTTCCTCTGTTTGATTCACTTCAGGTACTGCGGTAATCACTCTTTACTGACATCTGCTTGACTAATTCACCAAACACTTTTGAACTGAGGCCAGGCGCCACCAGAATCAATCTACGCAACGTTTAGCCAGTAAAAAGTCAGCCAGAGCGATGAATGTGTGCTTTTGCACACTGCACCACATATCGCCTGATGTGCATTCTTTCTAACCTTTAGACACAGCAGCAGCATTCCATTTGCACCACATGCATGCTTATCCGAACTGGGATCACAGGGTCACAACACCGTGGGTCGCGGATGGGTCCGCGTGGTTTCATACAAAAATATGCGTTTATTCTGCGTACTGTTCTCACAACTGACTCGTTTACGTGCGTACGAGATTTTCTTATCAATTTGAATGCAGTTTTTTGTGTTTATTGATTGGATGCTGGGCACATGGAAAGCAATACGCTAAAAAGTACTTGCTCATGGAATGAACAAAAGGAGTTTTTGGAGGGGTAATACATAACCTTAAAACACACCCTTCGTCGTGCTCTCGTTTTTATCACGAAAGATGGTTCGAAACACGCCTGTTTTGATGAATAGTTCGTACGTTAATGGTTAGTTTATTCTCCTACAGTCCAAGCCGGTTGAGCTGATAGAGCCAGTACCCTTCACGTTAAACACATGCATTTGAGTAGTTGACTATACTTCGGCTTTTGGCCGAATCGCTATATCTAAAGAAATCAAGTTGCTTCTCCCGTAATCTCTTACGTTTGATTAGTCCCCACATACATGCAAGCTCAAAACAGTGAAGTGGACAACAAAAAGAGTAATTCGTCTGTTCAGTCTGAGACAACAGGAAGACTAAATTTTTTGTCCAGGTCGCAATTCCGATGCGCGCTCTCATTTTAAAGTGTTTTGTTAGAGGATTACGAGATTGTCTTATCAGTTTATCGCAAAGTGAACCTACATTTTCTTACAGCTGCTATATCCATCTCATCCTATAAAGGCAAGGTGCTCGAAACATGTTTATATATATANAAGTCGAGAGGCAGAGGTCGGATTCAAACCACGGACCTTCCGGTCGGTAAATTCGCACTCTAACCACTTCGGCCATCTCGCCCCGTGCATCCCATTAGCAGGAATCCGTCCAGCAAAATATCAGCAATAATCATCTGCTACCTAGGTTTGTTTGGCAATTTGATAAACGCGTTTCACTCCCAAAGCAAACACTGGACCGTTGGAAACCTTGTGTTCGAAATATTGAAAGATAAAGAACTCCTCATATCTTACTGATCAGCAGGCTCGTTATCAACTCGACCGGATTCGAGATTGTTTTATATATATATATATATATATATATATATATGCATATACCATTCGATCGCTGCTGGAGTGTGTGCGAACCACCGGTCCACCACTGTGTTATCCAACTACTCAGTCGTTCCCGTCTAACAACCATGAGCCATCAAATGTGGGTAGTTGTGGTTGTTGAAACGCTCCCGTTTTTCCTCAAGTTGATGTACTTCGCGTTTGTCCTGAACTTCAGGGTTCAGAAAGTGACGTAACCGGCTCCACACAGCAGCTTATTGTCATTCGACACAGTTCAATGTGCCAGGCAAATCCGAAAACTGGTTCCAGTCAACTCTGCAATTCTATAATATGGAGGACAGCCATCCAGGAATAAGGACCATATGACCCAGTGTAAACTTGACGCCAAGTGTTCTTAAGATAAGAGCTGACTTGTGCTCGACCTACAGTTTGTGTACCAAGTCTAGCCACTCTTAAGGAAACGCAGGTTTTCGTTCAGGACGTTTTCACATTGATGCTTACAACTCTACGGGGTAGTAGCGTTGTAGAATTCATTTTAACTACCTTCGTCAGAGCTTATGAGGTCTATGCATGTAGCAACCTTGCTTCAGCGACACACTGTAACCAGTTTATGGAAATATGTTACTATTAAACGCCCGGTTCGATGTACAAACGGCAGAGTTCGGCTCGCCCCCAATATTGCACTGCGCCATTCGGAAACATACAAGTCATTTCTGCATAATCAGTTTTCCTCATTCACGTAATATTCGATCAGGTGAGACTACTGAGAGAGTTCTAGATTCAGTACGGTCAATACTGAACCTAAGCAGCTACCGTAAAACTGGGTAGATTTGGCGTATCTAGTCCAGAATCGGAGTGTTGTACTAGATCGACAAAGCTGAATAACTATGACGCGCTACTGCGTTCCTGTTCTACGATTCCATTGCAAATTTCAGTGTACTATTGCATGCGCATAACTGTCTAAGAATAGGTGCATCCACGGTTAGATTTCGTCTTCATAGCGAATAATCCCCTCGGTTTCACTGAACCATTCTCCCATCCTGCAAATGTCTTGTCGAGATATCGAGAATCAATATCGTACATTCCTTGCTGCGACAAACGTCCGTCTATTCGGGGTAATAGTGATCCCCGTGGATGGAGGATAAGTTTGAACCATTCACTTCCACATCTGATGGGCTCCGATCGCCTGTCGTTGATAGGAAGGTGCCGGTGCATTCTGCAAAACAGATAAAATTCTCCAGACACTTCTAAAACGCGCAAGAGATGAAAAGTCAGTCTTCCTGTGCTTGCTTTCTATACCTTCATGCTTGTTCATACCCACTGCTAAATGAAGTCCTTAGCTCCAGTCGGATTCGTCTATTGATCTAGGGACCAAGACTGGGCTAACTCAAATAAACTCCCTCTACAGCGGACAGATATCTCTTACCCAAACAGTTCTTAGCTGACCATTCCTGCCCACTGAAACTGACCGAATTACTCGTTTTTACTGTCTTTCAAGGAACTTCAACGACTGAACAACCTCTATTCCATGCAGGCAGTACTAACTGGACTACAAACCAATGCGATCCATCGGTTACGTCAATGTTGGACCGTGATGGGACAGTGAGTTTTCAACACGGTCTAGACCGTTTTCAGTTCCGCGTTATCCGCATCAGTGGGTGCATCAGCCGAACTCAACCTTTCTCGCTGTTAAACTTGCTTCAAACTTACTGTCAATCGCAAGATCGTGACGGTAGACATGTCTTAGTACACTAGCTAGACAGGGAAGTTAGCAAATTCAGGTAGCTTTTGGCCGCTCACCATTTTAGGCGGACTTTAAGCGTGCAACGTTGCAGCTAAGGTGGCTTTGGTTGGATGAACATCGCGTATGTTTTTGCACCGATCACAATAACGCGCTACTCAATGGCAAGATGTAGGACTCAGTTCTCTGATTACATTTTTCATTTGGTTGTCTTCCTGATAGGTGCTCCATCCAGGAGCACGAATAGACATGTGTATATTCTTGAATGTCATCTACTCAAGAAATTTTTAATTGGCTGTCATTGGTTGACTAACCTTGGCAAGAACAATTTCTGTGGTGCCACTGGATTTTCACCGCGTCAGACTGTCGAACACTGCTCCAGATGAGGCTCGTGACCGCTGAGATCTGTTCACCTATCTGTCCATGTAATAGCGTCCATTCACGACTTCGGTTCTAATCGTATGCACCTTATTTGGTCTCCTTCAATCAATGGTGTAACACAAATCTAGGAGATTTGCAAGTTTGAGGTTGTACGCTCCTTTGCAAAGCAAGGTGTCAGCATTAGCTTGTTGTTTGTGATAGTTTCAAACCGATTATATTGTGCAGAGGCCGTCATTCGTTTTGGCTGGTCCGTTCATCAAGATATCGGAATATGTTCCCTTGTTATGATAACACTTACTAGGGTAGTGAATGTGTTCACGGGTGATAGGCTATCAGCATCAACATAATAAGCAGCACTATAGTCATGATGTTTGCAAATGTTCGACGGAGTCGATCGCACGAAGCGTGGTCAGCGATTGTGCAAGTATTGATAGACGCTCTTGGTTGTTGAAGAATATCGTAGACGAGGAATTCGACTGGGGTTCAGTGGAGTCTCCCGTCTAAACCAAATTGGAATGCAGATGAGGTTATTGTGTGGATATACTATATTTGCTGTGCATTACAACTCGAATGTTGGTCCTTGGCCTACAGTTTTGCTCACTTATGGTATACGGAAGGATACGATAGTTCGAGAAACCTTTGATTAGATACAAAGAAAGATTTATATATCCGCATATTTGGAGTAATAGCAGAATTTTCCGAAAAAGCAAGCGAAAATTTTCGTGCTGGAGCATGAAGCGCCGATCTAAAAAGTACTTCATTCTGGTTGCTCCATATTCCGATCAATCAGATCGCCCCATTTCGGTCCATTCACGGTCGTGATACATCCACCCAATCTATATAATGGTTTGTTATTTCGAGTGGCTGGCCCCCAAGTACCATTGCTTTAGACCTTTTCAAATATTTTTTCGGGGTTGTATGAGCGATTGAAATTCCGCGATTCTTCTTTTTGGTGTCACCTTTGTCTACATGGTCGGTAGAAATCTGTTACCAGTCTCTGTCCTTGTTTTCCCACACCTCAAAGACTTTACCCGCAGCATTTACGAAGATTTGAAATGATGGTGGCTCTGATGAGCCATGAAAACAACTACCAGAAGCTTCGGACTGTAATCGCCAAGGTACGTTTTTTTCAGCCACAATTTATCGGAGAGAGGAGCTGTTTTTCACTGAAATTTTACAGACAGTGCAAAACTCTCCTCGTATACTTTCGATGCATTTAAAGCACGCAAAGATATGAGGGGACCCGAGCCAGTCAATGACCTGTTGTGGAAAAGGTGAAACAGTCTTTGTAGTAAATGATACGCGATCATTTCGACAACGAGCGCTGGTGAACATTTAGGTATAGGTTAGTTTAGTCGACCGTGCAGTCGATCAGAACACACGACGAGGTTAAAATCTTTATTGCTGATCTTGGTTTGCGCCCCAGTAAATTCGATATGACAACTGCACTTCTGCGGAGTGAAGAATTTATTTTCGACATTATCACAAAGTTCTTTGGGCCTTAAGCCGTGTTTGTGAGCAGTGGGCTGGTGTTGTTGATTTGGATAACGGAAAGGGTAGATCAGGAGACAGAAATCGAAAGGTAGGTTGGAACTGCGTCGTGGGCACACCAGGAATGGAATGGAAAGCTGGGTTCCCTAGGGTCAACCAGGCCGCTTACAAACACGGGCCCGTCACTGACTGCGATGAGTCTTCCCTTGCTAAATTGTCTCCAACGGTCGATGAGCGGTGTCAGCTAGTCCGTGGTAGTCGATATCCGCAAGTCGTGGTCGTGTCTTCGCATGCTAGTTTCCTCGTCCCCGGTTTGCAAGTGTCTCTCCCATTTGGTCTTCAGCGTCAAAATTAAGGGTAAGGGAGAGACCACGTACTGTGAACGAACCTTCAGTGATGTGGAGGCAGCCGAAGACACCTTTCGCTATACTCCTGCTAACATTTGAATGAACCTGCAGCACCCGCAAAATAGTGGCTTACTAATCTAACACTCTTTGAAGAAAACCATGTCATAGTTATATTTGAGCAACTAATTAGAGAGAAGCTTTCTTATTCAGAAATAGTGAGGTTATTGACCTCCGATAAATCTGATTTTCTAGTATGTCACAGTCGCGACCAAGGTGTAAGCCTGTCTGTCTTCATGGGTAGTCTCTGATATTCAGAACAACGTGGACGCGATTGAAACTAGACTGGTGTTACTGTAGCTATCGCAACAGGTTCTCGTGCCTTTATTTAAAACACGAAATGTGGTCAGTATACTCCATTTATGTGGCACCTTCTCAACCCTCTGCATATATAGTAGTTTGTGCAGGAATAGAGACTTGGCCCTTGTCTTCACAAGTGGAAAGAAGTTCAGGATCAGAGGTTTCGTGTCGTCCAGCCAGTTGGCTAATCGACAGTATTTAAGGAGGGTCTCCGTTTTCCACTATGCTGGTAATGAAAACTAATATCTAATCAGGCGTCTTAGAAGGCTCCTACTGGAGCCCAGTTTGGTGCACTGAATGTTAAAATCATATATTCGTAGTTAATAAACTGACAACACATCACCTGCTTTTCCTAGTGACCTAATCAGTCAAACGTTCTTTCTTATCCTGAACTGAACCAGTCCAATCGCAGCCTTTTGTCTTTCTTCGGTGTTGCAACCACCAGTGGCTTCCAACTGGTAACGCTGATCTCAAACTTTCTTCGCAAGTTTGTTAAAAGTGGGATACTGGTAAATCAGGCGTCTTAGAAGGCTCCTACTGGAGCCCAGTTTGGTGCACTGAATGTTAAAATCATATATTCGTAGTTAATAAACTGACAACACATCACCTGCTTTTCCTAGTGACCTAATCAGTCAAACGTTCTTTCTTATCCTGAACTGAACCAGTCCAATCGCAGCCTTTTGTCTTTCTTCGGTGTTGCAACCACCAGTGGCTTCCAACTGGTAACGCTGATCTCAAACTTTCTTCGCAAGTTTGTTAAAAGTGGTTATGATACTGGTATCATATATTGGATTCGGAAACTGGACATGCGCCAAAATGGCGTAGTTGTCTACCGAACCAGCCTACTGATCAATCTGTTTGAGTGCGGACAATGAAACTACCACTGTGCATGGGTCATCTAGTCTTTGGTGAAGTGAAGTGTGATGAGATAGAATCGAAAGATGAGGAAAGAGTGGAAGGATGGAAATTTCAGCCACGCTGTCCAAACCATGATAGGTTCTGGCACACATCGGTCTTTTCTATCGCGAACAGGGGTTGATTTCAGGGATCTCACCGTGAGCCCGCGACTGAAATGTTTGACTTGCCAGACAACGGAAGGTNAATAGAAAAAAGAGGAAAGATAGGAAGGATGGAAATTTCAGCCACGCTGTCCAAACCATGATAGGTGGTAACGCTGATCTCAAACTTTCTTCGCGAACAGGGGTTGATTTCAGGGATCTCACCGTGAGCCCGCGACTGAAATGTTTGACTTGCCAGACAACGGAAGGTAGGGTTTTCAAAAAGTACCCCTCCTAGGGAGAATGACTTAGAAGTCCCACTCGCCTGTTAGCAAGGGGCTCTCTCAACTAGAAGCTACAGGGAATATGGTATGGAATTCTGACTTGAGACCATTGCACACAGCAGGTGATTTTTGAGCCGCATCCCTATTATCGGAACCTGACTGGTACTGGGAGAATGACTTAGAAGTCCCACTCGCCTGGTAGCAAGGGGCTCTCTCAACTAGAAGCTAAAGGGAATATGGTATGGAATTCTGACTTAAGACCATTGCACACAGCAGGTGATTTTTGGGCCACATCCCTATTATTGGAACCTGACCGGTACTAAGTGACGCGTAGACAGGTTGTCCGAGTTCAATCAGAACAAAATCAGTTCCAGATTTAAGGTACTACGATAGCATGGATTATCTAACGGAAATAGAAAGTCTGACATCCTTCAAAGAGCACTTAAGAGCGGTGCACAGAAAAGGCGATCAACAATGAGAATGACACACAAGAGCGTCCAGTGGTGTCATGAACACCAAGAAACCCATAAGATAGAAAGAAAGAGAAGGCCAGAAACTGGTTGGTTGCAAAAGGTGAGACAGGCTCACACTAGGCCGATTGCAAAACGGGCAGGAGAAATGGCCTCATAATAGCTTTTTTCCAGTTGCCGGGCTTCTTAGAAAAGGGGCTTCTGGACCCGCAACAGCATCCCAGTTTTATTGCGCGTACTGTTTGGTAATTTCATTTAGAGTCAGAACAAAAGGATTACTCCAAAAATTAGGCAAGCAATCCAAAGGCCATTCAGTCATCACTTAAGAACAGCAACTTGTTGGACACTTCTTGGACATCCCGGAAGTGACAAGTTTTGTCGGGTCCCCCCACGCGACTCCTTCTTAGGCGAGTGGGCCGTTCCGAACAGAGGCAAGCAGGCTTGGTCTATGCAAGTATCACTTTTACTTCACTCGCATACGTGCATACAATTAACGCGGACCATAAGATTGGCATTAAATCCATTTTGCCTCCCCTCCGCGACTGCATGCGTTGTTTGGCATGGAGCTTTCCCTGAGGCCAGGACTGTCAAATACGTTTGATGGCTACTCTGTCAATGCACTCTTTCTACGCTGGGAGGCTCAACATCCTACTGAAATCTACTGCTTCGGTTCTATCCTACTTGGGGGTCAAGATGGCTCAGTGGTTAAAACGCAAATTTATTGGCCGGAAGGTCCGTGGTTCGAACCCGACCTCTACTCCTCGGTTTACCCTATCTGGGCTTGGGCGACCTGACAGTATCCCAGCCTTCGTGCTTCCTTGGAGTGGCATGTCCGCTAGACAGCGAAGGAATGTTACAGCTGAATGGTTAACATATTATCTTATCCTATTTAGGAAGGTGTTTAGAATTGTCTTCCCTTCGGGCCTCCTTTTTCATCACAATTATACCATATTGTACTATCTTATCAAGAAATAAACCGCGAAACTTTTCAAGCGACAACATTTGATTTCAAGAATGTCTAATATCTTTAAGGACAGGATTGGTCATTCACCATTGGTGGATGGACGCAATTTTCGATCGTCTTTCAGATTGTTTTTCGTACTCAACACCATACGATGTGAGAGGTCATTGTAGTTCAGCTGCGGATCACATTTAGAAGGTCAAGCTTTGAGATGAGCCATTTTTCGCTCCAAGTTGACTCGTTTGTGTACCGTGTTCGAAGCCCTATTCGCGTTTTGGGGACATGAGTCACAGAGTAAGATGGTGCCACTGAATGTCAATTGTATACAGACACAATTCTTCAGTCGGGTAAATACTGCAAGTTCAAGGCCTGGATGCTCCGGACAGTTTCGGCTCAGTGATGAGAGAAGAGGCCGACGAGTCTTTCACCTACTTTCGTTTGGGTTCTGATTTCTAGTATGTATTTGTAGCGTATTTTACTGTATAATGAAGTCGGTTATATGTCACATCGTCATAAAAAATATTGGTAGCCTTTGTGCATTTATCGGTCCTTGATCTGATGATCAGTGATGTGCTCACAAAGCCTGTCCATTGGGTTACAGACTTTCGCTCTTGTATAATGAAGTCGGTTATATGTCACATCATCATAAAAAATATTGGTAGCTCGTGTGCATTTATCGGACCTTGATCTGATGATCATTGATGTGCTCACAAAGCCTGTTCATTAGTTTACAGACTTTCGCTCGCAATAACAATAGTCGTGCAGCTGTGAAACCTTTTCGATGCACAGATGCCGTGAAACTCGAATGGGGCACGAGGACTGAGATATTTCCACTCTGCTCAATCCCAAACACGAGCAACAGAAATACCCAAATTGCGTTCGAACTGCGCAAGTTATTTCGTGCCTTCATCACCGAGCTGTCTGGCGCGCAGGCGTTTCATCATCAATCAAGGAGACATCCTCAGTGCACCCACTTCAATCGCCCACTGATGGGGTCTCCTCGTTTGGTGCCTAAACATTCGAAAACTAACTACCAAACTCAGTGGACAGATCAATAGCCAACCATGGGTCCTACTAGGCCACCAACGTTCACCGTTGGCCCCCGGTCATTTGAAATTCGTGTGCTGATGTGTGTATTGCACCCACCCAACTGCGCACTGATGATGTCTCCTCGTATGGTGACAAAACGTTTGCAAGCCAATTGCCAAGCTCGGCGAACAGATCAACAGCCATCTGATCAACAACCAATGTATTGGAGCAGTTCACTGCCAACAAGATTATCACCTGAAAGATATCCCCCAAATGTGTATCTTTAACTCTAACAGATGTTTATTTGAAGGACGTCATTAGTTTGTGTCCGTGAATTTGTTTGCATTTGGTCATCTCTATTCATCTGTATACCATCCATAAAGCAGATTCTCTGCCTTTTTTCTGCTCAGCACTTACAGAGCATACAGAAAATCGAACGTGCTAAGAGGAAACAACAGCAAAGTGCGGTAAGTTTGCGCATTTTCCTACGGACATCCTTGTCCCATCATCAGCTCTCAATCCAAGTACGCTGCATTCCACTAGGTTGATTTCTGGTTTCGGATTGATGCACAGTACGAACAAACGCCTTGTTTAATAACTGGTCCCAACTCTCGCTTAGCTGCACTGCTCTTGGGTACCAAAGATCCAACTAGACATACTTTTTGGTTCACAAACTAGCAGTGATAACCCTTCACACCGGACGACTTTCATTTTGAGGTATATAGTAAGTCCAGCAACCCGTAACATTCAACAACATAGCTAGCAGAATTGTTTCCGCTATCAGTTGGATCTCCGCTCCAATATGGAGTGTTTCTTTTACATTGTTTCTGCCGTTCTGATTATCACATTCCATCTAAGGCTAACAGAAATGTGTATATTCAAACAGTGCAATCTGGAGACGTGCTGGTGCTAGAAGGCTGGTTAACTAGCCCGTACATATTGGCATGGTGAACTGATAATGAAAGTTTATCAAGTTGTTTTGCTGTTGACCATAAATTCAGCCTTTAGCACTTTGATAAAGCCCCAGAGTTTTCAGCCGCCTTATAAAGGGTGTGTTATGTCAAGGGATTATGCTTCTCTATCTCGAATATCGTGCCCATTGAAACATGGGGCAAGCTGTGTGCAGCACATTGAACTGAAAAATAAGACAAACGAGTCTACCGCTAAACCAAGTGCAATTTCCAAAATGAATGTCCTTCGTCTGAATTTTCCCAAATTTGACGATCGAAAAACTGTCTCGTGTTGCTTTCAGGATAGTGATTGACCGAATAAGAGACATGTGATATTGTTCAGTTGTAACAGGTACCATCGTTTATTGCTGAAACCACTATTCAGCGATTCGCCTGACCCGTGGAGAGGACGTTTTGAAGGTGCAACTTAAATGTAATTCCATGAGATTCCCCTAAATTGCAACACCCACCAGAAGGCAATGAAGTGAGCGACTCCGAAAGGAGTAGCTCGTTGGGGGTTAATGTATATCATGAGTTCGATTATTAGCTTGTGGTGCCAGCGCACCATTAATTTGGTATGAACGTTCAGATATTTAGAGATTCATAGTTAATCACCGAGGAGTCGAAGCCAATCGTTTGAGAACCGCCTGGGTCAAACTGGTAGATTTATCCTTATCCAATAACGACGAGGTCAGAACAGTTTTTTGTAATATGAGGAACAAAAGATAACTGTTCAGCTCTAGCTCCCTTTCTGCGCCCAGCTGCCATGCCAATAGAAGGAGGTTGGAGGGCTGGGATAAGCTAGGTTGTCCACTCCTGGGCACGAGCAGTCGAGATGCTGATGTTGGGTTCGACCCACGGACCTTTCGGTCAGTAACCTGGCGCCTTAACCACTGAACTAGCTCTAGCCTGAGCTTTTTTATACTCGCATTACTTGTGGCACAGAAATGCAACCAGCGATGTGCTCCACCTTGTTAAGTGGGTAAGAAACTGGCCGCTAAAATACCTCGAATGCCTTTCCGAAAAAATCTCTCGCCCACAATGGATGAACTGATCACACTCCATATTTTACGCTGGCTTAATTGCGCGCTCCCTATACCGGTGGACTTTCTCAGATAGCCTTTTTCGCACAATCACACAGGTGATGGAAAGAAGCCCGGGACGGTCAAGCATTCACTTACCGGTGAAGCGTGAAAGCCATCATCAGCCAACTCAGCTGCACTGATCATTGCAGTCTCTTGATGGGGACCCCAAGCCAGGACATATCGATGGTACAAGACATTCACAGGCGTGAGCCAGTCGCGCACCAAATCGCTCTCATGCATGCAAGCTGTTGCCTTTAGTACATAGCCTTCCCTTCCGATCTTTCCAATGAAAAGCCTACTAGCACCCTTGGATTCGTGAACCACTCATATCAGCTAGCGTCCCCAATACATTGCTGTTCATCCCCTCCTCGTCAGATCATCGACGAACAATCCTATGACAGCTATATCCGCTGTGCAACATGTGCACACTTTTACGTCAGGTTATTATTATTATCGTTATTAGTATTATGCAGCGTGAGTTGACTTTCTTAGCACCACTTACTCGTCCCTGTCAACGAAGAGGGTAAACATAAAAGATGCCAAACGTACCATTGGACTCGTCTAAAACCTACCTGAGGGTGCTTTAACTAACTGGCACTCGTCTAATTATTCATGGTTTTGGTGATTATTTTCTGGACCTCTGTTTCCGCGCCTCAAACACTATTTGCTCTTGTGTGCATATGTGCACCTTCCGAACCGGTCGCACGTTATGAAACGACTGGGTCGCGTTGTATGGTGTACGTTGTTCCATAGACGGGAACAACTGAGCACTTCGCACTGCTTTCTGTATACATTATTTTACTATCCGCGCCTCAAACACTGCATCTCCCGAATGGGTTGCACGTTACGGAAAGATTGTTCGTGTTGTGTGTGACTTACGTTATACAGGTTTCCCTAGACGGGAACAACCGACCACTTTGCACTACTTTCTGCCAATAAATTCATTAGATTCAGAAGTTCTCTATTGGTGACTTACTAGTGAGTTTGTTTGTGACTAGGGTCATAAAATCCTTGAAGCCACGCTTCTATTCAGCAGTACTAATAAAAGAGATACTGAACTGAGGTTATTCTCCATCCACGCACCGGTTCGAAACTTCTTGGATGGTGGGTGGTTCAACGTTTTCCTACTGAACTAACGAGGCACCCTAATTGGGTTGAAAACTCAAAAGACTGGGATTCATTGTGTGGGGTTCTTACTCGGAATTGGAGAACATTGTATGATAGGCTTTCTTGGCACTTGATGTTCCGGTCAACGATTAAGACACGTGTTTATCATCTCCTTTCTTCAGAAATCAAGTCCACGTCATCAGGACGGCGATCCCTCTCTCAGGTCAGCTCCTCCAACCGAAGTGAGTGTTTCCTATATTGCAGCCTGCATGATGAGCAACCGTCTTATTTATAAGACTATAGATGAAGCTGAAAAGACCCACTTTCTGGTGGACGGAATGATTGTATTATGTGACTATACCACTTCCTTGTTCAATTAATTCCCCAATTTCCAGTAGAACTTCAATGATCTATGTAAGCATGTTTTTGCGGATACGGAAGTGCCTCCTCGGTGGAGCGGATTTCCCCGTCGACGGTTCAACTCACCTAAAAAAAGGCACACTTAGTCGGCCCAAGTATTCACACATCTTTTTTTCGTGTGTGATGAGAAACTCCATCCACCGCGGTATTACTCCACTCTGGGACCAGTTGGGCGTCGCTGGCTCGTTGACCCTCTTACCAATACGCACTCCGGTATTTGCTATCGCACAGCGCAATTTCCAATATGATCGGAATTTCAGCTAATGACCGCAAGCAGTGTGTGGCGATTAGATGGCCGGTGCATTTGTTCCATTCGCTGTGCACAGATGTTCGTGATCACGATAGTTCTTGTAGTTTTCAGTGCACCACCATATTCTACTTTTGAAGTCACATAGGTCGCTGCTATGCGAAATCCAAAAGCGCAAAGCGGTGATATTTGTTACTGGATTGTGCAGACCGCCATACTGGAGTTCACGACTACGTTTTGCGGATCAGAATGTCCAGGACAACAACGGATCGAAATCATATTTGTTGAATGTCCACTGGCGGCCGGTCGTTTGCACAACTATCTCGATGTGTATGTAGTTATAATCTTCTCAGCTTATTGGAGCCTCTCGCAACTTTTAGGGTATCAGTGATTGAAATTGTCTTGAATTGGGTATACTGGGGTCAACCGTTTTTCGGACCAGAAACAAGGTGCCCTTACAGAATCGTTGTTTGAACCCTTTCAAGAGTGTCATTGCCGCTGTAGTCCTCTCTGGATCACACGATGTAAACTCCGATGTCAATATTTTGCTAACCAACTAGCTTGATACTAATTCACGGTGTGATATTATTACCTCACCTAGCTTTTTTCCTAATCCGGTGATAATTTCGAAATTCGAGGGTTTCTCTGTTTTCCGATAGATGCCTTGAATGGCGTTGTTTAGTTTCCTAATCAAATCTACTGCACTAACTCTCTCTAGTTGTGAATTTGGTGTCTTTCTATCTTCCTCATACTTTTCATCTCCCTCAGCTTTTAACTTTTGACTTCGCGATCTCTCCTGTCTTCACCCGAGTCACCTGGCTCTCTCTCACATTTCGTGCCTCTAACGAGTTGTCTGACAGCTTCCTGTCAAGCCGGGACATTTCGTTTGCGTTCCGCACCTGCTTAGGAAGTTTAGGGTATAAATTCTTCTCTGACATTGATCAAAGCCTTTGGATAATACCTCACAAGCGCTTCTGTTCAGGGAATTACTACCGCCCAACCTGTGAAAACGAGTCTCATGTGGTTCATCAGCACAAGCCCTTGGGTTAGATTGTCGGCTCTCTCACCTATCATTCAAAAGCGACTAAACCCAACGCCTTGCATTCATAGCTTCACTTTGCAACATCTGTATTTTTCAATAGTAGTAATAACTCAGCTCAGCACGTTTTATCGTTTTTCACCCCCAATTTCCCCCTCTCTTTATTGAGACCCATTCTGACTCTTATTTCATCGGCTTTTCTACACCAGTCGACTTCTGTAATCATTGTAGTTACTTGTATCCATTCATTTCCACTCATTTCTGTCTGTCTCGCATCTTCTTGTGTTATTGTTCTGCCGAATGGGATAGTATACATCCGTTGTTTACTGTTTGTCTTTTGGAAATTTGTACTTCGAATGATGCTCCAACTTTTTTTGGCGACATAACTGATGTTCCTTCTGGAGATGTAGTGCGATTTGTCCCTTAATGGGTAACAGATCTTAAGACAATCTTTGATGCCTTCAATTAGGCTCGATTACCTCCTGAAATACCGCTTACGTAACACCAGCATGCACTCATATGCAAGAACACAACGTAAAGACTACGTACTTCGGCTTGCCTTCAAAACACTTCAGTTTGGAAAGAAACAAACAATCAGTCAATTTGTCAGCCATAAACCCGTGTTCCATAGGTGCATTGGTTCCAGCTGCTACAGTTTGGAACACCGGAAACTGGGAGAGTTCGGGAGCTAAGGCCAACCCTTGGACGTGATGGCATGTTCAGTTAGTTCGGGGATTGATTGGTTACGCATTGAAGATGATAACTTTGATACATGAGCGTCACTGACTGCGTGATCGGGCCACTTCTGTCAGACCACCAGCGTTCTCCGTCATTCTTCAAGTTCCCGATTATCTGGCATCTGAGGGATCTGCGTGTACCATCACAATCGCTAGTATGGCCCTTCCGACAGCAATAAGATCTGATCTCGACGTTATCCAGTATTCATTTAGTGGTGTCAGATGGCCTGGACGAACAGTTCTGAAACCTGAGAGCATTGCTTCTTCAAATTGCCTCCATTCAACCTACAAGCAATCTTCGTCATCAGCATGACTTACGTTCCCAGTAGCTTTCTACCCAGATGAGCTCGATACTCTCCAGCTACTGAAACTTGTCGAAGTTGATGAACGGAGCCGCTCTCTTTGGCACACGTAGTGCTGACGGAAAGTGAAGTAATAACCGGGCCCGCACTGTGGCATGATCAGAGTAAAGTTGTGGATGCCAGAAGGAATGACAGTCCTTAACTGATGCTCTCCATCGGCAACTGTTATCCACATAGTCCATTTGTGCCCACGACTGTCTTGTGGTAGCTGCCTCCAAGCAACTCGATGTGTTGAAAGTTCGTACTGGCCAGAAGCAGACAATGATCTGCACACAACTAAAGAAGTTGTGCCCCATTATCCGTACGCTCAGCATCAACTCCAAATCGATCACCTTATTGTGCTTCTTCCGGACTTGGTTGTCCAACCTGGGCATTTGTATCACCCTCCAACATTACTATATCTGTCCCTCTTACCGACCAAAGCAGTGGTGACAAATCTTGATAAAACTCGTCCTCAGTCTCAGAACTGCAATCTCTTGGAGCCTATGCCGATACGACAAATAAACACTGTTTCCAGCATCGACCTGCATTGATCTTAATTTAGTCAGACAACCGCACAGTGCAAAGGGGGCTGTTTACTGGGATCCAATCCAGTAAGGCACTTTTAGCCTTGGGATGAGTGCAACTCCCACACCATAGATACCACGAGCTATTACTTCAGGATCACTGGATACTCGAAGAGTGAAATGTGGAACATCCGAGCTCGTCCCAAGCGGCTGGAGGTGCACGACTGAAGTGGGGTCTTTTGTGCGTGTTTCGGGGACAACATTCATAGACAGATATGAAAGCAAGGTTTCAGCAAGAGAGGCCTGTTGTCCATTTTGACACGGATTACGGACATTAAAGGCTGTAACGTGGATCGGATCCTTCGACAACGGTGAGTTATTATTTTGGCTCACTTTCCTGGGCGAAGGTTTAGACACGGAATAATGGCGGATATGTTGATCCCACCGTGTCATTCGATGGGTGGGGAGAGATTGTGAGAAAAGGTCGATGAACTAAGAGCTACAAGGGCAAATGATCCTTCTCGGTTGTTCAGGTCAAAGAAGTAGTTTGTATTGAGGCACCCCAACCTGAGCCTTTGACTCGAAATTCTAATCCACAAGGCGGAGTGAGTAGATGTAGGGTTTTGTTCGGGGGTCCTGCCCATAGACTCTGACTTAATAGTCTCACCCACTTGGCTGTAGGGGACCAGCCTGTTCCGAGGATGCAGGGAGTAAGGCAGTACTGGCTCACTTTCAATGTAGCTGCGCTCAGCAGGTGTCTTTTAAGCAGCGCCGGACTCTTTGGATTCAAAAGTATTTTAACCAGCGTTCACTGTCAAACGTTGAGCGATCGGAGTATGCAGATTTTCGCGCTGACCTTTCCACACCCGTCCGTTCTTTGAGAAAGACAGCATCGCTGCTTCCACAAATATGGGCATACCGGTCGCCTTGGGAAAGCGCCTTACTGCCTTCACACTTTTATCGCAGAGGACAGTATGACTTTACCTCCAGACCGCCTCGACTACGATTACTCGCATTACGGAGGCTCATTCTTCTCCGTCGGCTTTCTGGCATGGTTGAACCTTAAGAAACTGAGTTCCATAAGTGTTTTCGCACCTAGTATAGGTCGCAGGATCATTGCAGAATAGAAGCCCGATAACCACGACAAGCTGACAACCTTGTCTGGACCTTTAGAGACGAACGTTTAGGATCAATCTGTGCATGATTTGCCGTCCACCGTTGAGCTTTTTCTCACTCCATCAAGTCCATGGCGTTTTTCTCAGGTAATTCTCCACTCTTTACTTATTCCTGTCTTGTGTAATACGAACTTTGTCCAAAAATTCACCAGCACTAACAAATAAGGAAAATCTCTTGTCTTTTACAAGGTCTTCTTCCTCAGTCACGTTTATCCTCATCACAAAAAGTATCGGTCGCATAAACTCCGGCGACTTCATCCTTCTCTCGTTTCCATTACGTATTGCTCGTAAATGTTGCTGTGCCAGAAATTGCGTGTTACTGGCAAGGCTGACCACCTATCTGGTTCATCCTCTGGGAGTCCACCTTGCAAAAACTGCTGGCTCTGATTTCTGGTAACATATTTCCACTGTTTCTCCTGATTCCACAGCAGACAGGGGAGGCTTGGAATCTTTGCCCAGTTTTGCCTTCATTTCAACCGTTTGTCTTGCTCTTGGTACATCGGTTCTTCTCAGTCCCTTTCTAACTTCATCCCTTTTGTACCAAAATTGTGCTCGGGTATTCTTTCACCCATGTCTATCCAACAGTGTCGTGCCCTGTTTTCGGAAATTACATGGGTACTGCTCATTTCAATACTTGAATGCTTTTCCAACCCGAGTGTTCTTCGCCCCACTCCAACCACTGAGTTTTCTCGAAACTTCTGGAATCCATCCCGGTCAAATAGTTCGTATGTGGTGCAACTGCCTCTCGAATGACCA